TATGAAAGCACGAATACCGATACATGAGGGCGGATATAGTTATAGTTCGATGGATGTTGGGGAATGGTGGGAGGATGGATTATGTATGAAAGCATGTGCATGGATCCATGTTGGCTGACGTAGACATAATGGTGGGGAAAGAAGAATGTGATGTGGGTGGGGGTGTGTGCGAGTGTGCGTGCGTGCATGCGTGCATGCGTTGTGATACGAGGGTTGGCGAACATGTTGTCAGATGATTGTGTGAGTAAGTTAAGTGATTGAGGATGTGGCAGGTATGAGTATTGATACATGCAGACTTGGGGTTGTGGGACTGGGTGTGCCTGTACTGAGGTATTTCGTTTCACTCACTTATAGTGTTTTCTTTCACTCAAATACTGTTTTACGCATTTTAATGACTGAAACTGTAGTGACTCAAAGGTCATACTGGCCGGGCATTCAACATATCTACCCCAACTACATACGTAGCCATTTTTATGGTGTACAATTCTTCTTCTACCTCACACACACACACACACACACACACACACACACACACACACACACACACACACATACACACATACACACACACACACACACACACAAAATACTAAAAGTATATTTAACAAAACGGATATTCCGTCACTTTAGAAATAGTTATCAATAAACATTTATCTGTTCATTGACCTCTTTATGCTGTAGGCATATAGGTACTTCCCACATGAACGGATGATGTGTATGTTTATTAATGTAACAGGTTTAGATGTATTGTCTATCTTATGTACAAACTACTAATTTGTTACTATCTTTTTCAGGAATCATGGCCTCCTTTATGAAGAGAAAACACTGTGAAGACTGTGGAAACTCTTTTTCCTCTTCTTCTAATTACAAGCGACACAAAGGCACTTGTCCGAGTACAGAACCTGAACCTGCATCTCAAGACAGCTCTGACGATGATGAAGAGGTATACTTTGATGAAGATGAGATTGACGATCTGCTTCAGAGTTTTCAACCGAGAAAACCTCAGCAAGCTGAATCCTCTCAACCTGCCTCACCGGAAGTGAAACCATTTTTTAAGGCACTCATCTTATGGACATGTTTCTTCCTCTGCATTTGGCAGTCTGTATTTTATATTTCCTCAAATGCCATCGCATTCCTTCTGAAATACCTTCATGCCCTTCTCGCCGTTGCCGCTCAGCATTACAAGTTCCTTGCTGTTGTAGTACCGATGTTCCCAAGTACTATTTTCCTGCTCAAGAAATTACTCAGAATTGACGACAATAACTTTTTCCACTATGTTGTATGCCCAGCATGCTGTAGCATATATAGATATTCTGACTGTATTTCTGTTTTCGAAGGAGAAGAAGTCAGTATGACTTGTTCAAACGTCTCCCAACCTAATCACCCAATGAGACATTATCGCCAGCCTTGTGGTGCACAACTGTTACAAAGTATGACCCTTTCCTCTGGCAAGAAGAAGCTTGTACCACATAAGAACTATTATTTTAAATCTCTGAAAGATTCACTTTTTAACTTTTTGTCAAGACCAGGTTTTGAGGAGAAATGTGAACAATGGCGTGACAGGGTCGTTAGTGATGGTACTTTGCATGACGTGTATGATGGTCGTATCTGGAAGAGCTTCAGTGGGACATATTTGAAGAAGAAGAGAAACTATGGCCTTATGCTTAATTTAGACTGGTTTCAGCCATTCAAACACGTCAAATACTCTGTAGGTGTAATGTATTTAGTCATCCTCAATCTACCTCGAGAAGAACGTTACAAACGTGAGAATGTTATCATTGTTGGTATTATACCGCACATGAAGAAAGAACCCCCTACAAACAGTTTTGTACAACCTTTAGTTGATGAGCTTCTTGAAGCATGGACAGTAGGTTTTTCATTCAACTCTAAGATATTTCGCTTGGCCTTAATGTGCATTGGATGTGATATCCCTGCTTGCCGAAAGTTATGTGGCTTTCTGGGACATGCAGCCGTCAAAGGGTGTTCTCGGTGCAAGAAGTCTTTTCCTGGTGAATTCGGCAAAAGAGACTACAGTGGTTTTGACAGAACTCAGTGGATACCTCGCACCCATGAAAAGCATATACGAGAAATTAGACACATCACAAGTGCCAGAACCAAGACAGATAGAGAAGCACTTGCGAGTTCGTATGGAACAAGATACTCCGTCTTGTCTGAGCTGCCATACCTTGATCTGATCAAAATGTCTGTTGTGGACCCTATGCACAATTTGTTTCTGGGGACATCAAAACATATGTTGCATGTATGGAGAGACACTGGTGTACTAACTGACAAGAACTTAGACACTATCCAAGCAAAGGTGGATGCAGTTAACTGTCCAAGTGACATTGGTCGCATCCCCCATAAGATTTCCTCCGGTTTTGCAGGGTTTAGTGCAGACCAGTTTAAAAACTGGACGTTACTGTTTTCTGTGTATGCACTGAAGGATGTTATTTCTGATGATCATTTAGAATGTTGGCGAAATTTTGTATTGGCCTGTAGATATTTGTGTTGCCGAGTATTAACTGAAAATGACATAAAAATGGCAGATTTATTACTGATGCGCTTCTGTGAGAATTTTGAGCGATTATATGGCCGTGACAGAGTTACCCCTAACATGCACTTGCATGGTCATCTGATAGAGTGTGTTCAGGACTTTGGACCCATTTACTCGTTTTGGCTGTTCAGTTTTGAACGGTTTAATGGTATGCTGGGCGACTACACAACTAACAAGAAAAGCGTAGAACTGCAGCTGATGAGACGTTTCGTAAGCCATTCTCATCTCCTTGGATTGGTCTTAGATGACGAGTTTCACTTTGGAGACACCCTTGAGCCGATCATCGCCACTGTTACAGCTAACATTAAAGTGGGTACTCTTGGCAAGATTAATTCAAGTGAATGCTTGCAGCTCCGACAGATGTCATCCCGACTTCATCACATTGAAAACCTTCAGTGGACTGACATTGACAGGTTCATTTTTTCAAAATATAAAGTCCGTGGCCTCACTGAAAATGATGAACACTCCCTTCAAGAAATGTACAGAGCCCTCTATGGCGAAACAGTCGAGACTTTGCCGGCCGTTAGGGAAATAAAAACTCTATACCTTGGATCAGAAGTCTTTGGATCTGCCAAGTCTCAAAGTGTGAGATCTTCTTACATCACTGCCTACTGGACAGACGGGGACGGGAAAATTGGTTGGGGGGTTTCTCCGAGACCTGGAAAGGTATTGAGATACCTTCAGCACTCAGCAAGAGTTGACGGCATAGAGAAGAGACACATCCTTGCAGAAGTTCAATGGTATCGGGAACTTGAAGATAAACTAAAAAACCATTGTGGCCGACCAGTGGAAGCCTGGCACTCTTCCATGTATGTTGACTCTGGTCCATCTTCGTTTATGCCCATTCAACGAATTAAGGGTAAATTCGTCAAAATTGAGGGACAAATAGGTACCAGGACAGTTACATTTGTGTCACCAAGGGACAGATTTGTGTGTGTGTAATTTATTGGTTTATTGTTGTTGTAAAGTTTTGCTTTAAATAGAAATTTTAATTGTACATTCTATATTTTAGTTCTTGTATGTGTATTATTGTAGATATAATTGTATACATGTATGATCATTACCCAGTGATGTGCCCAAGTGTTATTTATTGTACATATACCTTGAACTATGACATGATATCCTGAATATAAATTCACGTTCATCCTGTGTTTTGTATTTTTGTTATTTCTGCATGGCTTGGTGAAATGTAAGATTTGGAATGAACACCTCGACAGCAGTTTAGTTATAATGCTATCAATTTATGGATTAGTTCTGAGAAACAGAGAGGGAAACAGCCATATATAACAGGGTACCAATCCGGTGTTCAATCGCATCGCCATGTCTGATAAAGGTATATTCGATTTGTAAAATAGCACTAGTAAAACCACGATGCCTCTCTTGTGGTGGTGTACATCCTGTGATAAATTTCAAATCATTTATGGTGCTAAGTTCATATTACAAAATATTTGAACAAAGCGCAACAACAAACTGAGAACCAGAAGAAGCACCAGTAGAAACATAATTCTTAATTTATTGAGGCTTACATCTTTTATGTGAGCTTGTTAAACAACCAAGAGAAATTCACTGTACTACGCTATATACAAATTAAATAAAAAATCTACCCTCAGTGACCTTTATTTTGCATCTTTGAAATAAAATCATGATGTGTTGCGATATCTAAATATTGCCAAAATATATGATGGCCATAAGTATGATACACTTATGTAACGTATTACAGATGAAATGTTTTCATCGACAAATGAGCTTGGTGACATAAAATCAAATATGTAGACATATAAGTCCACCATGTTCCGTTATACAAGCCTACGAACTGAAAGAAGCGGCAATAAAACCATGATGTGTTGCCAACACATCCTAACATTTGAAAAGTATCTAATGGGGTATTTTATGAAAGCATTCGTTTGAAGCTTTAAGCCAAAGATGCACTTGAAAGAGTGCATTACCGACGTAATAATAATCTCAAGTGCACTCAAGTTGAAGAAGCGGCAGTAAATTCTTGATGTGTTGCACCGTCAAATACATTTATAAACAGTATTATGTATTCAACTAAAGCGTTGGGATAGAATATTGCAGCAAATCCACTTTGGAAACGATCTGAACAGCTTAACCAGCAGACAGAAGAAGCAGACATAAAATCACCTATGTATTCAAACATTTCCAAACAAATCCAAACAAATCCAAACATTTCCAAACATTTCCAAACATTTCCAAGCTTGGAAATATGACCTTTCCAAATTTTGGAATGGTCATATTTCCAATTGGAATGACGGTATTTCCAAGTTTTGGAAATGTTGGAATGGATGATATTTTGTCCAGTGATGCCCACCACCTCCCGCAACATCTCCTACATGGGTAAGACACGGGTTGTCGTAGTGGTAGTGGACGTATTTGTAGTCGTTGTAGTGGTAGTAGATCTAGTAGCAGTGATTGAAGTAGATCCTGACCCTCATCGCTGACCGCATGCCCACCACCTCCCGCGACACCTCCTACATGGGTAAGACACGGGTTGGCGTAGTGGTAGTAGACGTAGTAGACCAAGTAGTAACAGAAGTAGCAGTAGTACTAGTAGTTGTTGTAGACGTAGTGGTACTAGATCCTGAACACTTCATATAATATATGAAGACACGGCTTGATTGATTTAGAAGTAGCGGTAGTAGACGTCGTAGTGGTAGACGTAGTGGTAGTAGACCTAAAGTCGTAGCGATAGTTGGCGAAAAGGTTACAGACGTACAGGTAAAATCAGTACTGGCAGAAGACGAAGAGGTTGTAGACGTAATGGTGGAAAATATAGTGGTAGAAGACGTCGTTGTAGAGGTTATACGTTGTGGTAGAAGACGTAGTTGTAGAAGACGTGTCTAGTGGTAGAAGAGGTGGTGGTTGTAGATGTAGTGGTAGACGTCTTAGTGATAGAAGACGTGGTGTTTGTAGATGTAGTGGTAGAAAACTTATCTAGTGGTAGAAGACGTTTTGGTTGTAGATGTAGTGTTAGACAACGTTTTGGTGGAAGACGTGGTGTTAGTACATGTAGTGGTAGAAAACGTACGTTGTGATGGAAGACGTAATGATAGTACATGTGGTATCAGAAGCAGCAGACCAGATACAGATCACACATCCCCCCCACCCCCACCCCCAACCCCCACCCCACCCCCCACCCCACCCCCACACCATGAACTTGTTCGTGGCTGAGAACTATGGGGTTTTCCCCTATTTAGTAAGAGAAACGAAAATGAATTCCCATATGTGATTGGCGCTGTTGAGTAGACAGGTTTGTGCAGCATGTAATATTTTGTCAGCTCTCTTTTACCTGTGTCCATATATGTCATCCAGATTGTCGTGATCTATCGAGCAATTTCTAACACTGTTTATCCTGTGTGATATTTCAGCCATGTACCTGGCTGTCATCCTCTGTCTGAGCGGCCTGTCCGTAGTGCTGACCATCGTCGTCCTGGACTTCAACCTCCGGGAAGGTAAAGTGACGCCGTGGCTGGAACATGCAACCAGGTGTGTAGTTATGCCCTTGACCTGTGCCCGGAGCTTGAACCGGAAGTCGAGGTCAGCGTCAGTCAGCAGCATCGACACTGTGGGAGATCCCAAGTTCAAGGACATTCAGAATGCAGTCCACAAGAGTGATCCAACCGACGCCGACGGCATCGCGAGTGCCCCCTCTACCAGCCCCAGTGCAGAGATGACATGGCAGGAGATAGCCAGAGCCTTTGACGCACTTTTCTTCAGGCTGTATCTGGGTACAATAGCAACCGTCACCATCGTAGTCTTAGTTTTCCTGAGTTCGATAATGCTCAATAGAGACACTGAGATTTAGGCTTCTCACTTCGCTTATCCAGTGCTTTATAGATCCTTGCTATCAGAAGGAATACCCTGGAACATCACTACCATAATTTCCTTTATATTCGAAAGACAGACAGCTACAAATTGCAGTCTATAGTATATTCATGAGCAAGAAACGCTATGTGATAAGTATGTGATAAGTTAGTGATAAGTAAGTGATGAGTTAGTGATAAGTATGTGATAAGTTAGTGAAACGTATGTAATAAATTCATATAAGGTAATGATAAATTAGTGATATGTATGTAATATGCTGGTGACACGAATGTAATAAGTTAGTGATGAGTATGTGATAAGTTAGGGATAAGTATGTGATAGGTTAGTGATGAGTATGTGATAAGTTAGTGATAAGTATGTGATAAGTTAGTAATGAGTATTAGATACGTTAGTGATAAGTTAGTGACACGTATGTGAGAAGTATGTGATACGTTATTGATAAGTATGTGATAAGTTTGTGATAAGTTAGTGATGAGTATGTGATGAGTATGTGATACGTTTATGACACGTATGTGAGAATTATTACCCACGTGGTGAAGATACAGGTGGTAAGATACTAAATCCGTACGTCACACGTCTGTCGTACAAGGCTGACCTTGTTTTATTCGTGTTGATTTGATAACCGTGACCTCTGTCTCACCGGGACTACTTTTTTCATTCATAAAAAATCGCTAGACGTCATTCATTTTGCAAGTACAAGGCAGAACTGAATAAATTAATGAGAACGAGAGATATTTACAAACACTTTATTAAACCAAACAAAATATTCACACGCATCAAATTCGGTTTGCATTATATATAAGTTACGCATAGAGCTTCTACAGACTTTATATAATCGAGCTTTATCCATTTACAATGTACGACTGCTGATCAATAGAGCGAGGGTCCCCATGAGCGTGACGCACCCGACCACTTTCGCAATTTTCAATTTGATTTCACGTAAAAGGATAAGCGTGGTGAAATGAAGTTTGTTTATCCTGACAGATATTTAGACTTACTTGGGATGATCCGGTTGTGCCATCAGTGTCCCCTTCGAAGCTTATTTTGTGGCGCTGTTACGGGAGGTGTTGTTCATGAATGAACGTACACGACTGCACCACCAGATCACTTAAAGTGAACAGTTCTGATACAAATCATTCGAAAACTCCGTGGAAGTGTGCCTGACTTCTGATTTTGTGACCCCAAACATACCAAATGTGAACAATAGCATTCCCTATCTCTCGCGTAAAACGCTGTGAGTTGGCCTAGATCTAGATCACGGTTGTCTTTTCTTATTCCGGTGGTGACCTTGCCCTTCGATCGTTCGAAGCTGTCACTGACATGCAAGCAGACTTGAGTTTGTTGATTTTCACGTCTTCATTATAGGGTGGTACAGTTAACATGGACACTCTGATTTCCCTCTTCCAAAATGGTACGAACATGATATAAATTCAGCTAATAGATAAAGGAAACCGAACCATTTTGATTGCACAGACGGGACACCGGCAGTGCGAGTGACCGACTGTTAGTCCGATATTCAAAGCGCGGCGCTAATGTGACTTTTCAAATTTTCATATAGGTGTCCTTCGCACTAACAACATGGCGCTTGAATTACCATAAGTTGAAGAATTTCTTCCAAAAGGATCTTGAGCGTCGGTCTTGTTTTGTTTGCAAACACAACAGCAGGCGTATGTTGTTAATGCGTATGTATAGAAATGTCAACAATGCCCATATTTGGGCATATATCAATATTCATGCGCAACCAGATTTTGCAACCGGTTTCAGTTTGGTCTGTCAACGAACGAAAGTTGTGATGTATTTACGCTTACATACATATTTATCGTGGGTAATAAATAAAATACCACGCTCATTCTCGTTAGATACCATTTTTACGAAACTCGTGAACTTTCTATGGTATCTGATACCAGTCCACATTCGCCGCCACAACCCATCAATCAACAGAGATCAAGGCTATTTCATCCCATCCGCCTACTATGAACTCATCAAACAATAATCACCTGTTTATTGGCTTCATGCCCCATTGGCTTCTAGCTATGTACTTTCCGTCCATCGTGTTGTGATAGCATCATCCTTGTTGTCACACCTACCTATGTTATCCCACTCATGTATGCCCTTGTTGTTACTGTTAATCCTCTACTGTTAATCCTCCACTTGCTATATATATTCTGCACTATGTCCCTCATTCAGTCATCGGACCAATGTCCCCTAGAAAATGGTACTCCAGAGGGCAGTATCCTCAGCCCCACCCTCTTCAATATAATGATAAACGATCTATTCGAGGGCCTATCCCCTAAAGTAAACACATCAAAATTCGCGGATGATGGAGCCATCTGGATCCGCACTAAAAGCATGAACATGGTCCAAAATTTACTCCAAAAATCTCTTAATGAAATACAACAATGGGCTGACAAATGGGGCTTCTCCCTTAACTCAGAAAAAACAAAAGGGAATAGTATTCAAACATAAAAACATGAAACACGCCTCCCCAATCCTCCAGCTAAACAATCAAACAATCAAATTTCAAAAACAAACCAAATTCTTAGGACTTATTTTCGATGAACATCTCACCTGGGATGCTCAAATCCAAAACCTAACAACTAAATGCAGTTAAGACCTAAACACCCTAAGATGCCTAACTGGCTCTAACTGGGGAGCATCCAAAGATACCCTCCTCTCTCTCTACATATCACTAATTAGATCAAAACTAGACTACGGCTGCGCCATATACAACACCCTAAACAACTCTCTATCTAAAAAACTTGACTCAATACAATATCAGGCTCTCAAACTAATTACACGCACCCAACATGGCACCTCCTACACCTCACTTCAGGCCTTAACAGGAGAAATGCCACTAAGTCTACACAGGGAACAGCTAAGCTTAAATTTCTGGGCCGCTTCCCAATCAAACCCTCTCATCGAAAACTTAATAAACCAAAACATCAGCCCCCAAAACCAAGCTCTAGCTCGTAAACACCCCTTACTTACCCCAATATCCCAAAGAATAACAAACTACCTAAATGAACACCAAATTAAAAATCTTAAACAAAACTGCAAACAATCAAATATCTTCACCCCTAAACTTAAAATACCCAAAATAGACACAACACTAGCTAGCCATAAAAATAAACAAACCGACCCAAACATAGCTAAAACTACCACACTAGCATACATACACGAAAATTGGCCAAATTGGTGTCACATTTACACGGACGGATCCACAGATCCGACCTCCAAACACACAGGTTTCGGAGTCCATACCACACAACCAACTAAAACCACACAATCCTTCCGACTCCCAAACAACCAATCAATATTCACGGCAGAACTAATGAGCATGGCCTCAGCCCTCCATAATCAAGAATCCAAAAAACACAAAAAAATCCTAATACTTACCGACTCCCTAAGTGGACTGCAAGCCCTCCAAAACAAAAATACCAAAAACCGACCTAAATTAATAAATCAAATACTTAAAAGCTCCAACGACCTAACTAAGGCAGGCAAACAAATAACCTTCTTGTGGATACCCGCCCACGTAGGAATATACGGTAATGAAAACGCCGATAAAGCAGCTAAACTATCCTTCAAAATCCCAGAAATAAGCCTAAACTTACCCATCTCAAAATCAGAAGTTAAAGTGTAAACAAGCAAAAAATCACAAAAAATGGTATAACCTATATCTAAACTCAAATAGCCAAATCAAAAAAGTGCTCAGCAAACCACTAACCAAACCAAAAATTCTCCATCCATCCAAAAAAATCGACAGAGTAATCACTAAACTCCAAACAGGACACACCAACCTAAATAACCACCTAAAAAAAATTAAAAAACACACTACAGGTAACTGCCCACACTGCAAACAACCAGAAACCCCAGAACACGCACTCATCCACTGCACACACTACCTAACACATCGAACCGCATTACAAACCACCCTCAATCTAAACAAGGCTCTAACTCTAGAAGCAATACTAAACCCACAAAATAAACTAGAAAACTTCAAGGCCTTAGGCGTATTCTTAATAAAAACGGAACTAATAAAACGCATCTAAAAACACAATAACCTACCAAATCAAAATCACATAAACAAACAAACATCCACCATACCCAGCTCCCTTAGTTCCCCTCCCCAATCCCATCGGCATCTATTCCAAATCTCAAAATTCCCAAATTCTATATAAGCAACCCCTAAAACCCCCCTCTTGGGTTGCACAGACCACTTTCGCCCCTTTCGGAAACACATTAAATGGCCTGGCCGGGCCCGTGTGCGAAATACGCATCAGTCGGAAAGCGCACGTTAAATCTCCAAAGTAAGTAAGTAAGTACTCATTCAGTCTTGCTTGACAACGGTATAAGGATCTATACCGAAACGTCGCTTTTTACAGTATTAAAGAAGTTGTTGTCCATAAAATTGTGTCTATCTTCACATATACAGCATATTGGTTTTGTTGATAATGTCATAGCGACTGATTTATGACTACCATTGTCTGCAGTACATTTGACTCCAAGGGCAAATTACCCTGTAGCCATGTCTCCATAACTTAATTGCCATTACGTTTTAGGCGCTAATGCCCGTTGTTAATCCACACCAACATTTCATTGCATATTGACTGTCAGTCAGCCTGGACTACCATATCACTTCCCTTTAACTACTGCTTTTTATAGTATGGCATTTATTGCCATAATTGATCATCCCATGAACTGTGTTTGTTAATCACGCCCATATGTCCAAAGCAACGTCGTTGTCTCTTTGTCTGTCCATTGTTGTTCATTACTATATATGTGCTACCATTACACAGTTACTACGGTGTTAGTCAGGCTTGGTATTCCGAGTGCTGGCATAGGGACGACCTCGAGCAGTGATGTCGATTTTGTCCTTCTTTCCCACAAGAGCTAATTCCACTAGAAAATAACATACATAACAGTCTTAATTTACAATTTTCTTTTATGCTGAATGATAGAAATATACCGAGGCGATATAAAGGAAATGTCTTGAGTAGTTTACGATAACTCTCAGGCCAAAATTGGTAATCACGCCAAGCTATTGATATAACTAAACTAGTTGAAAAGACAAAGTATATTATATATATATTAATATACCTATAGTTACATGCATGGCACAAAGATTAACATGAAATAATAACACTAAACTGCAACAATCAAATGACACTAGCAACGATACTAAACCCCCTAAATTACTTACAAACCTTTAAAGCACTAGGCATATATCTAATAAAAACAGACCTACTCGGCCGCATCTAAACAAAAATACAACAAACAAGCTGCCAATAAACCCTCAAAATCTAAACCAGTCCTATAAATACACACGAACTCCATTTAGTCCCCCCTCCACCTTGTGAATGGCATATTTCAAAATTCCAAATTTGTTCTCCAAATTAAGTAAGCAACCCTAAAAGCCCCACCTAGGTTGCCCAACCTTTTCGGACATACCCTTTTCGACCAAACACTAAATGGCCTGGCGGTCTAGTGCGCGAAATACGCATATGTCGCAAAGCGCACGTTCAAATTCCCAATTTGAGTAAGTAAGTAAATGGTGAACACAAGGAAAACCAAGG